ACTACCAAAATATTAAGCCAAAAATCTCCTCCTGCAAGCAATACAATAAAGAAATGCTCACATAAGAGTTCCCTTCCAGTTTGAACTGTGCAGTAAAGGAGGCCTTTGAACATGCTATGATACAAAACCTGTGTTATAGCCATTGCTCCAGATCAGCAGAGAGCAGACTCTGCACTGCACTTTGGTGGTATACAGCCATTTGTGTTACTCCTGAGGTGTCCACATCATGGCTGCAATTCTCCTTTCTGCCTCCCAAAGGAGCAAGGTAGAGAAAAAAGTATTACTGCAATATAGCATAGAGAAGATGCAGAAATGCAGCGATTGCCTCCAACCCAGCACAGCACCTTCACGCTGTCCCCAAATATAATATAGTGCACATACTAATTTTACTGGATGTGTACAGATGGGAAACTGCACAACAACAATACCGTATCTCAGTGAGTCATGGGGTTGAATCTAGCTCTACTACTTTTGGATGTATTTAATGCATTTACATCCAGCTCTGAGCAGATGTTTTTGCACTCAATTTTGAAAACTCCAAAGTTTGCCTGGGTCCTCAGACAGACCCCTCACCAGACAGGGTAAAGGCTTACAACCAGGATTTTACTGTACCAATCAAGTCTACTCAAACTACTTTTACCTTTACCCCTTGTCTCTTTTTTCTGTCCATGCCTTTTGAAAGTACTGTGTCCTAAACTAAACTTTCTGCTTCATCCTCTGCCTACTAAACACACCATCCCCATAATTCAGTTTCCTGTTTTCTTCCAAGTTCACAGTCTTCATTAATTCACTTCCCAGGGATACAGCTTTGCCTAACCTCACTTTTCCTTTCTTTCTCCCCTTAGGTCTCACCTTGCCTTTCCTGCTTCACAGCATTTTGTCTGCACCCAACAGTTCTCTGCCTTTCTTCATGATACCTTCCCATCCCTGATCAGCAGTTGCTTCTTCACCACTCATCTGATTCAGTGCTGGTCTTTCCCACACTACTGCCTCATAATTAATCATTGTGTTATGTCTGTCCCTCTTGCAATGCAAGACCCTCAGAAAATGCAGATCATCTTCCTCCAGTACGTTCAGCACTTACGGAATTAAGTAAATAATGCAAATGGGCACTGGATCATGTACAGCATCACATAGCCCGGACCGTGGCCAGACCACAGACCACGATTTCTATTCACGGCTATTCTATTCAAACAGACCACTGTCTGTTTCCAGGTTTCAGTGCATTCTTTTTCTGCAGCTTCTGAGATAACTAGTGTTTTTCAAGAGCCCAGTTCCTACAACCGTGGCCCCTTTCTTTTTCTTCTCATTTCCTCAGTCTTTTGTGCATCAACAAAGAGACTATAAGGAAGGCACTGCAATTAGCACTTTCTCAGATGCACTTATCTGTTGAGAGCACTCAGCACTGAGCTATCTTCTGCAGGTGGGGAACTTAACCTCCTCTTACCACTTTTATTTATTTCAAGTTAATTGCCAGAAGTGGTAAGCTCTCTGCACTGTGCTCTGAATTCATGATCATGCAAATACTTCAGATGATGGATGGTGTGGCTGTGACAGCTAATAGCAAACCAGAGATGGAACAAGGATTCTCAGAGTCAAAAACAAGAGCACTTGAAGTGCAGACACACAAAAAGACCTTAGTTAATACACATTCAACAGCTAATGATGTCAGATTCTGTTTAGACTTCTCAGATCCATCTTTATGCAATAATATTTTTGATTGTAGATGCAGACATTTGTCTCTGCTCTGTTTTCTGCCTAGCAGGAACAACGTCATACATGCAAGGTGAAACACAGACCATTGTCATAAGACTGTTTTCAGCATTATTGTCACTGGAAGCTGAGAACAGGACCATGAGATGTCCACATCATAGAACAGACTATGACAGGTTCACGCACCAACCAGTTTTCAACTTGTCTGTAGCAAAACAGGGATGGAAACTTTGGTCCTCTCCCAAAAGAAAATCTAATAATAACCATGCTGACACCACAAACCACAATGACAGACAAGTTTGTAGCGTGCAAGGCACTGCGTGAACAAATGCAGTTCCTCTACCAAAGAGCTGACAGTCTGAGGCCTTTGTCCAAAAGCCACGATGCCCTTGAATTGATGTGGTTGAGCGTGCCTTGTGTAAAGCTATATTCTGTTGTGCGTTAGCAGGGTAGAGCCCAGGAAAGCTGATGGTTATTACTGATTTGTGCTAATCACTAATCTCTTTATTCCTTATAGATACTGGGGAAGCATGTGCTGTAAGGAAGGATGCAAGTGGTAGAACTGTGCTGCCCACTGGGCTTTGTGCATGAGGAGCTATACAGGAGGTGGCGCATCTCTGTGAGTACAGCGTTGATTCTCTCAGCAAGCTCCTCCTAACAGTGTTTCTGGTGCATATACTGTTGTAAGAAGCCAGCTGGCTGCCATCTGAGAGCAGATGCCAAGTGGCTGTCAGATTGTCATCTTGAGTTTTAATATTCGACTCGTCTTTCTGTGAATTGGCTTTTGGCCTCTTTTTCCCTAGGAAGAGTTATGTCTGAGCCAAACAGCCTCAGATTTCTCTCTGGTAAAAGAAATGAAAGTATGAGTCACTATCGCTTCTGGTGAAATAATTTATAAATCAGAATTACTGTGCTTTAAGTGGTTTTCCCACTTTTTTTGTAGTTACATAACGTTTCTCCTGTAGTTCCTAAAAGTAGTACTGGAAAAACACATAGCAGCCACTTCAAACAGTTTACTCGTTCAATCTGTCCATTATGTAATTAATTAGAAAAGCTGAAAGAAATATAGTTTTGAGTTTGAGTTCCTGCTGCTCACATTTAAAGTTTTAATAAAAAGGCTGGTTACAATGGTCTCTGATATACTGTCCAGTCCTGGAGAACTGTCACTGGTTTATCTGAAAATGCAGGATAAAAGTTAAATGAAAATGAACTGAAGATTTAACAAAATTGTAGAGCAGAAAGCTCTAGGACAGTTTTTCATAAGCAATTAGTGATCCAAAAGCAGCAGCTTCAAGTAGTCTTAAAGGATTATTACTTTTAGAGAAGGGATTCACATACACTCTGGGAATGGAATCATTTCCAGATACGTCATAGTAGGCAATTCAACTCACTAGTCCTGTGGGAAAATAATACCCTTAAGAGTTCTGGAGACCTGAATAGACAGAAGTTGTTACTGTCGTTGAAGAAAAAAAAGCATCTGCTGGAAAGACACTGACATAAGCAGAAAAAGCATGTTTTCCATAAAAACTGCTTTCTAAAACTACATGGCAGGGCATCACTAAGGCATACTTCCAAGTGACTTGTGCCATCATGTGGGAACCCATTCTCTGTATCAGACCATTGGAAACTGATCATAATTATGTTATATTCCGTTAATGGAGAAGCTCTATACAGGGTGCAGATTTGTTATATTACTTCTAATGCTACGGAAAACCCTACATACATTTCTTTTTATACTTTGAATACTTGCATTTCACTTCTTCTGACAATAAAATATGATTGAAGTTTACCTGGTGACACAAATGCAAGCATTTCCTTCTTCAGTACCTGACTGAATTGGCACCAGGATTCAGAATGAGACCTGAGGATTCGCAAATAGGTACCCTAAAGGCAGGAAGCAAATAGTTGATGCTCGTACTGACCCCAGTAGTGCACAATCTAGAGTATTAAGCAGATGGTAAAGGAGAGAATCAAATGCACACTTGTCTGTATGTTTGCTTCTATTACCCAGAATAAGTTTCACAGGTACTCTTCAGTTTTCATGGGTGTTACTCCAGGAATGAGATGGCTTAGTGATAGATGAGAATCTGTTTGCATGAGTCCAGTTTGGAGTTAGCTTTTAGCTGACACTGCTACAATAGATTAGATCTTTCTCTTTTTTTTTCCTCTCCTTCTTTTCTTTCCTAGTGGTAAGAGGAAACGGGGAAGATTAAAGATGTTTTACATACAATCATAGTTTATGGAAACAGGTTTTAAGCACATGAATTAGAGGTGAGAGAAATGCACCTCACAACACCTGATGAAAAAAATCACAAAAATGTTAAATGACTTGGAAGGTCTAGAAAGATCATCTCCATCTGTGCTGCCAGCTCCCTTAGAACTAAGCTGGGAATGAAGAAATGCGTTTGTTTTCAGGCCTTTCCCAGGAGAAGAGGCCTGATATCCTGACACAGCAAAAACGTTGGGACATTGCTAGCACTCAGCACAATAATCATTTCTATATAGTTCATGTGGTGAGAAATATCGGCTTGGATGAAGAACTCCTTACATCATTTTGGTAGCAACAGTAGAAAATTAAAACATTCAGCTGGAGGCAACAAATGAGAACAAAGAACAATGCCTAGTGCTGCAGCATGCTATTCCTGGGTAGTGGAGCCTGGATTGGCAAAATGTGGAGGCTCCCAAAATAGACACCATTCAGTATTTGTTGCATCCCCAGAGGTGTCATGCCAGGATTTTCTTGAGATTGCTAAATTAAAACGTTCTATCAGCTGAAGGAGTCAAACCATAGTGAAATCAGGCACTTTTTCCTTTAACACTGAACTTCTAGCAAGTTTTCAATCTCCAAGAATTTGTAACAGCACCAAGAAAGAAACCAAAGTGTTTTAAATTGCAGGTGGGATTAAGAGTCATTGGAAAAATAGGTGTCTAAATTATTATGCTTAAAGGCATGAAAAACCAAATGGGGCGTATGCAAGGGTGTACCTGTCCCAGAATTTGGCCAAACTGGGTTTGTGAAAGACTGGAAGATGAGAACAAAGACAAACATTGAACACTGCAGTAGGAAGAAGAGATCCATAGGGAGCTATTTTGTTCAGGACAGCACATACCAGTTTTGTAATAAAGTACATAGGTTGTTCCAAAAGAGATGCCTCCTACTTAATTCCTATAAAGTATAGCAGACACATGTATAATCAAAGAATTTTAGGATGTTATAATCACAAAATAAACAAGAGAGTTAGGCAAAGCAGACTACAATAACAACAGAGAACAAATAGAAGGCTTACCCCTATCCTGGGCTCACTCACAAAACTCCAGCAGAGCAGATCTCCAGCAGAGACCCTTCCCCACTGGCAGCCAGCTCTTCAATAGGTCTAGGAGAGGTGCAGCCAGGCTCCCCCCCTTCCGGCACACAGCTGAATTGCCTTCACCTGTGCTCCTGTGGCTGACTCAGTGCTCGCCTCAGGTGATCGATCAATCAGAGGTTCAGGCTGTACCTCAGCAGTTCCCACACAATAAAAGAACAAAATAACACTAGGTAGAGCAAATTCTCAACTACAAAAACATATTTTTCAACATTATCACATCATTAGCTATGTATTTTCATCAGTGATGAACAAGCGATTCCCCCCCACAGGAGATCCTCCCTTCAGCCCTAGGCATGTAGTGGCTGTGGTCAATAATCAGCTTGGGGCTTTCCTTTTTTCTTTCTGTTCATAAAACATAAGAAGACGTGAGCTGGAATGGGTCAGCTCAGAATCTTTTACTCCAAGCTCTCTTGGGGGTTGGACAGGCTGCAGAAATGGCAGCACAGCACTTGCAAACTTGTCGTTAAGATGCACATCCTAGAATCACTGAACCGCAGAATCATAGAATGGTTTGGATTGGAAGAGGCCTTATGATCAGGGACACCTCCAACTAGACCAGGCTGCCCAGGGCCCCATCCAACTTGGCCTTGAACACCTCCAGGGGTGAGATGTTTCTCTGGTCAACATGTTCTAATGCCCCATCACCCTCCAAGAGAAAAATTTCTTCTAAATATCTGATCTAAAGATATTTTATTTTAGTTTAAAACTATTGCCCCTTGATCTATTACTATCTACCCATGTAAAAAGTCAAGATTAATATTATTTATAAGCTCCCTTGAAGTACTGGAAGGCCACAATGAGGTCTCCTCAGAACCTCTCTTCTCTGGACTGAACAAGCCCAGCTTCCTCAGCCTGTCTTTGTAGAAGAGGTGCCCCAGCCCTTTGATCATCTTTGTTGCCCTTCTCAGGACCCATTCCACCAGCTTCACACCTTTCTTCTATTGTATCAACTGCAGCATCCAGCTTGGTGCATTTCATCCCACTATGCATTGTCCTGATTAAGATGTTAGAGAGCACTTGTCCCAGCAGACCGCTGGGGGGACACCACTCATCACTGGCCTTCACCTGGACCTAGAGCCATTGACCACAACACTCTGGCTGTGATCATCCAACCAATTCATTTTCCACTGCAAAGTCCACTCTTAAATCCATGTATTTCCAATTTGGAGATAATAATGTAATGTGGGATCATAGCAATGGCCTTGCAGAAGTTCAGGATGACATCAGTTGCTTTACCTCTGTCTACTGATGCTGTGAATGAATGCAGTCACATAGTATACTTTACTACATCAAGATCGTTAGGAAATGTTTTGTACACAGAACAAGAAGTGATGGATCCCATCAGCTGGAGTGGTCACATGGGAGCATCAGCCAGCTGGATACAGGAAATCATAACATGAATAAACAGTGTGAAACACAATACTGCTTTGCCACCATGATTAAAGACTTGTTGAAAAATTCTTTTCCTTGATCTGTCTGATTTCTGAGGTAGACACTCCCTGCCAAAAACTGCTTGGAAGACCTTGGATATTTCAGAATCTCATATACTTTTAGCCAAATTGCTCAAGCATGCTTGGATAATATGCCTACTGCCATTCAGATATACTTTACAGTATTGCATTTTTTGGAAAACTATTGAAAATCCACCAACCCTGGATGCCATGGTGCATGGTGCACTGTAACCCTGTTACAGTGGCTTGTTCCTTTTAAAATGCTTTTTTGGCACCTGTGCCCTGGCCAGGATTTCCTGCTCTGATGTACTTTCAGAAAAAAAAAAAAAAAAAAGAAAAAAAAATGTATGGAAATGCAAAGGCTTGTGTCCAACAAAGCATTGGAGATGCCATTTCTTAATGCAGGCTTTCAACTTTTTTGTAGCTCTTAACCTCTCACCAAATGCCAGTAGTATTTCATTGAAAAATAAAAGCCTAAAAACTTTACTGGATTAGGCCCAGAATTCCTGTTAGTTTCTGTCCCATAGCAATCAGTTCTAATTTAAATGGCTTTTTATTATCTTCACACTAATCACAAGCTTACAATTAAGTGCAGCACGTAGCTTAAAAGAAGGAAGAAAAAATACATCCCAGTAATGGCTGCCTAGGAACTACAAGAATAGGATAAAAATATTCAAAACATGTAAGAACACAAAGCTGTAGAAGAATTCTATTTATTTATTTGTTTGTTTGTTTTAGTCAAATTACTGGGACAAAGCCGAGCAAAGAAAAAAATAAGTGAGATGATATCAGGAGGGATGTCTTGGCACTCTGTTAAACTACTGAATGATTTCCTAACAGAAGCTGTTGAAAGCATCATCAGCTTCTGCATTTTTAAGCATGACAGGGGAAAACAATGAATGGTGCAGTGACCTCTGTGGGCACAGCATCATGCTAAGCAGTGAATGTACTGGTATTTCAGCTAACTTTTTGGAACTGGTCTAGTGGTCTATACACACACACCTATTATACATACAATTGGAAAGGAACAATGGAGTAACGGCAGAAAGAAGGCCCACAGGCCCAGATCTTGCTTCACGCTGAGTCACATAGCGTGTGAAGAGCACTTCTGAGTATTTTCTTGTCACTAAGTAGTGGCCAAGTCCTGGGACATCTTTCAGGTCTCAGAAAGTCCACTTTCTTCAGATGTGGTTATCAGACCTTCTGGAACAAAACAGATTTGCAGATTGAGAGGGTATCAAGCAGAGACACAAGCTGTTAGATAAGATATTCCTTCTGACTTGTAGCAGAAAATCATTTCATACAACGCTGCTTAAGGGTCCTGCCTGGTCACTTCAAGTAACTGAAGTGATGAGGTTTTCACTAATTCTCAACCCAATACTTTTCTACCCAATAAACCTCCTGTGAAAAAGTTGTCCTAATGCAGATTCCAGCTTCTTCTTCCAGCTCAGATTTACTACTTAACTCCCAGTTACAGGTTTTCATATAACACCACTGCCTGATTATCATTGATTATCATTGCTGCTACTTAATTGGAGTAACTGAAACAACTGACACGAGGTGGATAAAGACATTAGTATTATCCCACTTATGACAGTCATCTTCAGATGTTTTGCAGTGCTTTCAGACCCCTCCCAAAATGATGGTAGGCAAGAACTACCAGGAAGGTTTTATAAGAAGGGCTCTCTGGCTGCTATTTAAGCTGCCATTACATATAGAATGTAGGTGCATCTCTACATAGCAGACATAATGAGATAGAGAGCGGGCAAATAAAATGCAGGGTTTATGATTAGGAATATTGGTTCAGCTATTTAGATTGCTGTTCAGCTATATAAATCATTTGGAGTTATTTTTCAAGGAAGCAAAAACATCAGTGTATATTTAAGCAAAGCATTAACTCAGGGTTACCTTGAGTAGATGGATTGCTGAAATCAGTGTTTTTCAACACTAACCTTTTCCTTCTGGAAAGGTCAGTTCATGCTTCTATTTCGCTGAACATGGGAGCTTAAGTGCCAGAATTAATGCATCTTAGGAGCAACCTCCCTGAGAGAGGGCCTGTCAAAGCTGTAACAGTGAAAAACAAGGAGATCTGTGGGGTTTTTGTTTTGTTTTGTTTTGCTTTTTTGTTGTTTTTGTTGTTGTTGTTGTTGTTTTCCAGTCTGCCACATGCTGCTTTTACTGTAACTAGTATAATGTCCTTATGGAAATGTCTTAGTGATAACACGGTTCTGTTGTCCTACATTTAGGTTAGCAATTTCTTTTCAGTGGCAAATATATGGGGGCAAAGAGGCTGTTTATCAGCTATGGAAGTTATCAGGGATATTACAGTATTGTACAACAGCTCGCACGGCACCTCCCCACCTTACAGCAACATCCTAGATTTTTGTTGGTACACAAGTGATGGCAGATTGGAGGGTTTTATTCCAAGATTTTCATGATGACTTGAAACACATTTTGAGCCTTGAATAAACATTTCCTCGTACAACTGGCCTATCAGGCAGATATCCTTGTTTCCTCGCTAGTGATGGTCTTATTTATTTTGTCATCAGCTTATTGCTCATATTAACAGCATGAAAACTAAGCAAATATCCTCTGGGTTTGCTGGCAATGATGTATTCACAAATTGTGCTCTACAGCTATCATGTGTTTGCACACATACAAAGTTGTATTTCTGAAATGATGATGCTTGAGAACTGCTTACGAAGTGTAAAATATTGCATCTGATGATGCAGAGAGACTTTCGGAGAAAAGCTCCCTGGTCTAAGTCAATCTTAAAGGGAAGCATGAGAATTTGTAACAGCATGAGACGCAGGCACAGACGCACAGCAATGCCATCCCTGTGTCATTTGCCCCTGTGCTGAAGCAACTGCTTTCTCTGGTCTCATACTTTAGGTGGGCACATGACATTTATTGATACAGAATGCATTTTTGAACTCATCTAAATGGCTAAAACTTTTAAGGTAAAAGGGAAAAATATAACATATACATTCTTCTTTCTTGAATCTAGATTGCATTACCACACAGATAGATACATTTTTGGAGTATTTTAAGATCAGAATAGGCATTAAGAAATGATGGAGAATCTGGAGGGGACATAAGAGTAATCTGGGAGAACATGAGAGAAATGTATATAGAGAAGAACTCAAGTTGAACCAGAGAGCAGAAATAGAATGACCATGTGCAATTAACAATATGCCAACTGAACACAGCCAGCAAGGAGAAGTTTAGTGAGGAAAAAAAATATACAGGCAGTAATTGGTAAAAGTTGAATAATTCTGGGATCTCACCGGACAAGTGAACTACAGAATTCAAAACATTTTCTCAGCTACAGCATTCAATTTATGGGCCTAGACTGCTGATCTCACATATGGTTCAGGAAAATCTGTACCCGTCCATATCATTATCACCTTTAACTCTAACTCTCTTACTGCTACAGCAGTTTGAGAGTGTTCAGTGCGAACATTAAGTTCTTTACAAAAGCAGAGCAGGTGAGACTCTAGCTTTACATTTGAGTCTTTACTTTTCAGTCACTGTGGCTTTATTTCTAATTATTTTCCATTACAGAACCACCAAAGGAGTCTGGAGACAACTGGAACTCCACTGTGTTGAGCGCTGCACAAATAACTAGAGACAGTCCTTTCTCACCATGCATCAGGCAAAACAGCAGCAATCTCCTAAAGGTAGAAATATGTCCAGTTCTTTGAGACTGTTTTTCAGGGCTGGAGTGTTGACATGATACGTTCTACCTACTGGGGCTGCATCATCTTCAGTTAACAACTTCACTGTAAAATGAATCCTGGTATCACCGCATCAAGGATGATGTGGAAGAAAATCATGGAGGGAAAAGGCAGCAATGTGATGGTTAACAAAGATCACATAAGCATTGGAAGATGAGCAAAAAATATGAGGGACAATTGTCAGTGATCTATAAACACATCCTAGAGAAAAGAAAACTCCATGGGCGATAGCTATTATCTGTATAGATACTTTCAAAATATAAATGCATGTGAAGGAAGGGAATTACTCAATCTCAGCAGATGCTGAGATGTAGAAGCATACTAACACAGAAGGAGTTGAAATTAAGCTCAGAATACTTCTGAATGCTAAAATCAGCTGCAAGACTCTCAAAGAGACAGATTACAAAAGGCAGTATCATCCTGCTGATACTCAGGGTGCATCAAGTGGGGAATTAGTGGAAAGAAACACAGGCAGGGCACAATCTTGCAAATAATAGAAAGAGAAGCCAGCTGAACAAGCAATCTTTCAAGCTCCAATGTCTATCTGATATCAGGGATGGCCAGAATGGACACTCAGCCTTTGGTCAGGTATTTATAACACAGTGTGACAGTAACATAGTTGAAGAGCAAGGAAATGCAATGGTACCAAAAGAGATATGAAACATGACCCTTTTGAAATCAAAAGACAAACAAAATCCAAATTAACTAGGGGAGCTTATGAGAGTTTTTAGGTCAAATTCACCCCAGAGCATTAAGGCTTTTTTCTTTCCTTTTGTTGGGAGGAAGCTTGTTGTGTACACATGTGGCCCATAGCTATTCTCACTGATGCTGTCCTTGAAAACCTTGGCTCTTTGGATGCACAAATCAAAGTGCAGTGTTGCAAGTTGGAATGGCAGTCCCCTGAGCCTGCTTGCAAATTACATCTGAAGATAGCTTTTTCTGTGTGTGTTACTCAGGGATAAGGGTCTCCGGGGGTGTCAATACAGCATTTGGTTGAGGAAGAGTGTGGGCATCTCTTGGGCATTTGGAAACCTTCCTTAGTAATGACAATCACAGTGTGGTCAGAAGGTAGTTTAGGCTTTGGCATTGTATGGATAAACCTGCATGCAAGAGCATTGATAACACCCCTTCATATTTATATTGGTAACTACAATATTGAAAATTTTTCACATTTAACACACTTCATTGTCTTGGCTAATGAATCCTGACCATTTGTTTGTCCTACTGATTAATATTTTTCTTGAAGTGTAATAAGCTAAATTGATGGAGACCAATACAGCAGTTGCTCTCAGTCCTGCCAATTCTGAGGCGTTTCAGCATCCCACATCTTCAATCCTTTGTGAAGACCAAGCTCTTTTAAAGGCTTTGGATCCTTTAATGCCCAAATAACTATAAACAACATAGAAGAAGAAGGAATAATTCTCCCAGTTAAGCCTCCCACAGAGACTGTTCTCTGTAACAGCATACAGATGAATAGGCTTTGGATGTTAATTGTAACACTGTGTACTCTTCCATAGCTAATCAGCTCACAGAGTACAGACAAGTAACTTCTATTATCAACTCCATTCCACCACACAGACCATCCTGAAATGCTTCTCCAATAGCTAATTTAGAGACCTCCCGTTGGCTTAGCTCTGGCTGTGGAAACAAGCTGTGTTATTCAAGAGGAATTTATCCTGTCTCCCTTACTTTTTCTCTCTTGCTTAAAGAATAAGGATCTAGTGGAAATAGCTTGTGTAAGGGTGGGAAGCAAAACATATTAATACCTACTGGCAAAAGCACATGTTCAGTGCCTCAAGGGGTTTAGTGTGCAACAAGCTAGAAAACTCACTTGCAGACCTAAGTAAGTACCACTGTATCATCTTTTGCTTTATGAAGTAAAAATTTATTGAGGGGGTGAAGAGGAAAGAAACATTACCTTCCCCCTTTCTTTCATAATAGAGTAGTTTTTACCAACAGTATTTATAAACAAATTTGTTTTTGTCCCCCCCACACTGGAATGAGTCACTGGACATCCAGAGTTTGTTATAAACCTTTCCTTGCACAAAGTTGGTTTGAGTCCTTTGTGTTCATATTCCACTACAGTATGTTTCATACTGCTCTCCAGGTAACTGCTGCTGATACATACACTATTTGGATATGGGAAGCTATTTGCACAACATTAGAAATCCACTGAGTGCAGATGTACATTCTTCTGCCATGGAATTAAGGTGCAAAACAAGGATGTTGCCTTCAGATAATGACATTCAACAAATCCCAGTTTATCCTGAAAACCAAAAGAGGAAAAACGTTGAATGATCTAGGCCCTCCTTGCAGCTGAAACACATTTATTAAACTGATTTAATTCTTCAGCCACTCTCTGCAACCTCTTTTGGTCACTGTTTCTAGCTGGAATCATATTTTTGCAAAGAGCTCAGTATCTTTCTTGACCAATTTTTGACATGGCAAGAGCAGATCACACTCCCCTTCAGCTGATGTTGGTAGCAGAATCCCACTTCTTCAGACAGTGAGTGAGTAATTGTGGTTCCCACTGGCAGCATGAGTACCCCAGGAAACAGCATGCCCTACATGTGGCCCCTTTGTTTCTCTTCCATGTTGATCCTGTGTGACGCAGCAGCTTCTTACACAGTCAAAGTGAAGAGACTGAAGAGTGTTTTAGAACTACATGAAAATGGCATCTTGCCTTCCCTTCAGACAAGGATCTCTTACATCCATTTCCTTTGGCTTTTTTCTTGTCAACGAGAAGATGAAAATCTCTGGCATCTCATAGCTCTTTATTACTACAAAATCATTCTCTGCTGCTCACAGGAGAGGTGGAGAGATTGACAGTCGGCCTCTGAGACAGCATCCTAGTTATGCAATCCCTTTATGTAGACAACTCCCAGTGACTGCACAGAAGAAACATCCAGTTGCTGTTTTTGCCAATATTTGTTAGATGCCTGGAGCATTTGTGGTGAGGCAAACTCTGTCCTACTTTGTCCTTTAATGAACAACGGATGCCAAAAGATGTTTTTGAAGATACAGAGAAGTTGACAGCTTACAAAGTGTCTGTCCATTTTCTTTTTGTTGTCTCCTTTTTCTTCCATTGCTAAAGAGTCTGAAAACAATAACAGAAGGGTGAGGGTGGGTTAATAACAACAGCTCTGAAGAAATGAATTTTGAGGAGGAATTTGAACAAGAAAAAAAGAGATATCCAGAAGCTGGGAATTAATGTAGCAGCAAGCAAGAGGGAGTTCATCAAACTAAGTGAGAGGGAGCAAGCTGAACGGACCACTGTCTTTGGTACTGATAACTATATAAAAGGAACCAGAGACTTGGTGGGTAAGTGTTGTAATAAGTGCTTGATCATGGAGTGGAAAGTTTTGGTGAGGCAAAAACATGACTTAATGGTCAGGCAAGGGAAGGTGTTTGTAAGATCTGCATTTCTGGAAGACCGGTAAGGAACAATGAGGACATAGGGAAAGTGGGGAAGCAGATGAGTTCATCTAGAGATAGTCAAGAAGAAAGAAAGTAGGATTATCATGGTATTAGTTTTAAGTATTTAAGGACATGAAACATTAAAATGCATTTGGGAGACGAACAGAAGGAGCCATCAGAGAGAGGAAAGATGGGAAGGGAGCAGTTCAATCATGCTTCCATCACTGGGGAAGGAAACAGACCAGAAAAAGACCAGGAACAAAAGCTTTTAGGAGAAAAGAAGGTAAATTGATGGGAAAAGCTTGTGACAGGGCCTGTCAGACTTCCTGAAGTCAGTATCACTCATGACATCTGGAGAAAGTATAGCAACAAGAAGGCTTAGGGGAGGAAATGAAAGTCTCAAAGAGAGTCTCGATGGGAGCAGTGGGACTTCTGCTCAAGAAAGATCTGAAAAGGACAAAAAATTGTACATAAAGTCTCTGAATCCTGAAATGCTCTTTGAAGACATTCGATGGTGTATGAAGCAAAAGCAAAATGTGACCTATGGTTGGGTGTATTTCACTCAAGTACAAAGGAAGGAAGTACAAAACAGGGCTAAAAGAATTAACTTGAGCATCTGTGAAAGCAAAAGTACAAGCAGGTGGTAAGGAGGAGACTTGAAGCTGCTTGGACAATAGCATAACTTTGAAGGTACAGCAGAACAGACAAGGAAAGGGGAAAGGCACATGGACCACTGAAAGAACAAGGCCCGCTGACCATGGAAATTTTTAACTATAAAATGTCAGAGGTACTTATACTCAATTCAGCTTTTTAGTAAAGGAGATGTACAGTGTTGAAACATAGTCCGGCTTTCAGTAAAGGGAGAAATGCCTCAAAATGCCAGAATGGTTTGGGTTGGAAGGGACCTTAAAGATCACCCATTTCCAACCCCCTGCCATGAGCAGTGTTGCCACTCACCAGCTCAGGCTGCCAAAGGCCCCATTCAACCTGTTCTTGAATACTTCCAGGGATGGGGCATCCACAGCTTCTCTGGGAGGCATGTACCAGTACTTCACCACCCTATGAGCAAAGAATTTCTAACCTAAATCTACCTTCATCTAGTTTAAAGCTTGACACTGATGAAGTATCCCTCTCCAGCTTTATTGTAGGCCTTCTTTAGTGCAGTTGGTGCAATTTTGACTTTTTTTTTTTTTTTTTTTTTTTAAGGAAAGATAATGAAAGCAAAGGCAATTTACAAAGCTGTATTTACCAAGGATAAATATAGTGCATTCTGGCACCCTTGCTGAGAGGTTGCTTGGTTAATCTGTTCCTTTCTGTTTTGCAAACTAACAAGAGTCAGCACTTCCCTAACAGCAAATATGTATCAGCATCAGATAAAATTAAAATCCATGCTTTTACACGAATTCTTTCCTTATTTTATTATGCAAAATACTTCCTTTAAGTAACCTATATGGCAGCACTTATGAGATGCTGCAGTGGCTGAGAACAGCGTGTGCTCCAGAATAGTACTATAATATTATCTCATCTCGTTTAGTCTGTGGTTTCCAGACCTCTTAGGAGACATGGATTATTTCTTAGAAATCTGCAGAAGCAAGTCCTAAATCTTTAGGTCCAGATTTGTTGTACAGGTTCTTACCTTCAGAAAGAAATGTTAAGGAATCTATAAATCAAAAAAGAACATCCAGCAACACAGTAGTTTTCTCTACCCAGATCATGTGGTTGATCCACGTGATAGAATGGTGATTTAGCATGTACTAGTTTTCCCTTTCCTTAAAATTTATAAAGATTTTCCTTTTTTTCTTCCCAAAATACTCTGGGTTTTATGAAAAGGAGCGTGTCCAGTAGACTGGCATACTTGGAAGACTGATCTTCCCTCTGCTCATCACTCCTTAGACTATAATTAAATACAGAGTCCCATTTTAGGCCCCTTAGCACAGGAAAGACATTGATAACAAGGTGCACATACAGTGAGAGGCCACCAACATGTCTGAGATCTTGAACAGTTGCCTGATGAGGAGAGGCTAAGAGATTAGGTCTTCAGAATGAAGAAGGGCTGGCTTCAGGGAGAATGAAACAGCAGCCTGTCAATGCCCACAAGGGAGTTATCAAGATGATGCAGTCAAGTTCTTCAGGGTGGTGTATGGTGGTAAGAGAAGAGACAACAGGCATAAATTGAAAGAAGAGATAAAGCTTTCTGCCCTATGAGTACAGTCAAGCAGTAGAACACACTTCACTGAGGCCATGCAGCCTCCAGCCTTCGAGGTTTCCAACCTCCAGTTAATTAAAAACCTGAGAAACTTGGTCTGATCCCAGACCGGGCCCTGCTTGGAGCGCCAGGCTCAATTAGAGACAGCCTCTATCACCATGTGAGAGTCTGAACGTGGCAGCCAGTCTCGCTTCTGCAGCATCGTAAATCCTGATAAGCATTGTGACTGCTTTCTTTCCATTGTCATTTTAGATAATGAGAGTACTTTGGTAGGACTTCCATTAAAATGAAAGGAAGCAGCCAGATCTCACCTTTTTATCTCATGCTGTCCTTTGCCCTTCAGAGCTATAGAACCAACAAGCATTTCAGACACCCAACTTGTTAGACATGAAGGAAAATATGTGGAGTTCTCAAGATACAGCACACTATCTTCAAGATGCAAAATGCTGTATCTTCAAAAGAAAGGAAAATCAAATCATGTACAGCTTTTTATTGCAGTGGAATCGACACATTCATTTCCTCTTGCCATTAAGTCAATAATATCAGAAAAACATATTTTAGATTACAAGGTTATGCAAATATCCCTATAAATGAAGTGTAGCACTTGGATTTCTGGCAGCTGGCCAGCACAGTCCTCAGTATAAACAAGTTTGTCTATTTCTGTACTAACCACTCAGGGTTGTGCCTCTGCTGGACTATTAAGCTAGAAAATGACCCTTCACTGTATGTTTCTCTTGGTGGAACAAAGTCTAATAATGGAGCTGCATTTACAGGCAATAGAATATGTAAATTTTATGCATTGCAATTGAATAAATGTTCAGTATTTTGAGTGAAGTCCGTTTAGAAATGTGCCCTACTGACTTTAGAAATTTAGAAATGTTCACAAATTCCTGATTGAAATAACAAATGAACAGTGTGAGTGGTAAAGTTAGCTGGAGGAACAAACTCAGCAGATTTATTCAGTGAAACAAACCAGGACTCAGAGAGAATCATCTCAACAGTTTACATAACATTTGCTCTGCACGAATCCGTAAAGTTTGCCTGTGGTGTTTAATATTGTATGTATGATTTGGCAGATCCAGTGCAATTTTACAGGGAAGCAAGGACAGGACAGATGACAACTCTTCACAAAGAAAAAAAAAGTGGCAGTTGCATTCACATACTGCAGATGTACTGAAATGGATCTTGGGATAAGTTGCTTTGGGTTTTAGTAATTATTTATTTATCCTCATGTGGGATTGTTTCATCTGCTTTGTTCGTTGTTTGGGTTTTTTTGCTCTAGGTTTGCACTGTATTGTTTTAGTGCACAGTGTCACTATTGTCTAAGCAAGAACATGCTATTTGTAATGGTCTGAGTGCATCATTTATTTTTTGAAATCCTGTGCCAGTTGCTCTGTTACACATCTATAGACACTGGTACTGTTCAAATCAAAATAGGAAAAATGAGAAACTTGCAGTCAGAAGACCATGCAAAAACATATTACAGAATCACAGAATGGCTGGAACTGCAGAACCTAGACATGCCCAGGCACCCTACACTCTGTGTTTGGTCTAAAGAGAGAGGCCTTGAGGAGAAAAAACAAAGCAAATTACAAAGCTCTCATATCAGGCTGCTATTCCTTTGCAGAAAGGACTCATGGAAGCAGCTCAGCAAGCCAAAGACTTGCAAAGGGGGCCTTTTGGTGGTAGGCACAATATACGTATTTGTTGCTCTGTTCAGTCAACAAAAACCATAACAAACACCAAAATTCATAGTTCTGATCCCTTTTGTGTTTAGTGCCATCAGCAAAGCCCATCCAAAAAAAGCTGAAAACAAAACTCCCAAATACCTTCCCTCCCAGAGGACCGGGTCAGGAACTCTCTTGTTACCAACCAGCAATATTGCTGTGACTGCAAAGAAAGAGGTAGGGGAAAAAAGCTCTACGTGCAATCTGTCTGTCTAGTATATGGATTGAGATATGAATTCTAGAGGTCCCATGAGACGCAGATATGGCACACTAGCATGTACTGGCCCCTCTGAGCATTGCTTGTCAGCAGTGATAATAGGGTTAGCTCAATACACTCTGCTGAAGAAATAAACAGCATTTTGTATTCAAGCATCACAGCAGCAAGCAGCCAGTCTGAATGGTGTTGAAGGACAGAATCTAAAGTTTAATCTCCAGGAAGGTTGTCTACATAACAGCAGTTAAGTCAGAGGAGCAGAATCTAGTTTACACAACAAAATATCCTTGAACTGCTAAGCTGTGGGCAAAGTCTGCAAATCAGATCTAATTACAAACATGTCTTGGCTGCATAGAGACAGGAATGCTGCAGTGCGGTAGAGAAGCAAGAGAAGACAGCCAGGGCACTAGTGAATGATTTACTGTAGTCTGTCTTTTGAAATGCATAGATTACATCAGAGAGAGGGACAGCACCTAGCAGCTTTCTCCCCGATTGGTGCTAAGTCTGAAATATACTTCATTTATGTATTTTTTTTTAACACAAAGCTACAGGGTACTTTCACAGCTGAGGATGATAATGACCCTTTGGCTTTACCCATCTTATTCCAGGCTACATATAGACTCACCTAGCCATTGTGAATGTATTTCATCTTTCCTCCAGCCCAACTGTTTATCCAACTGTGACAACATTTTGGGATAACATTTTCAAATGGCTGAGATCAATTTCACCATGATTTAACTTGGCACAACCTTTTAAGTGAAAGCATTTGCTATTACAGACCCTGATAATGGCACCCGTAGGTACAATACTGTATTCCAGGAGATCTGTGTTAAACATTATGAATTCCAAAATAGTTACCTCCTCTGGAATAAAATCATTAAGCTGAATACCCTGACTTAATTAGACTTAAATGTCATCAGTGATTCACTCTGTTTTAATAAACTCGTCTGTTTTCATGTCACTTCTATAATTTATGCCATAAATAAAAGCCAGTTATGTTGTTCTAACGCCTCAGGAGCACAGCTGGAAACTATCAGAAAATCTTTTGGGTCCACCTTCTCAAAGGTTTCCCATCACTGTAACCAATGCAAACAGCATCTGTGCAAGGAAAAGGCATCACAGAGAATTTTGTGCCTGTGTAAGGTTTAGAGCAAAAGCAGAAAATGGAAGAGTCCAAGCACATTAGAGGAGGAGGTGTTTTGAGAAATCTGTTATATTGTAGAGCTCTGAAAGCGAGTCGAGTAAGAAGCAGAAGACATAAAGAAATGGGTATTTATGGGAAAACAATTTCAAAATGGTGTATCTCAAAATTTGCCTGGTAGTTCAGTGGGTTCGCTGTCTTCCTTAATTCTTTTGGAAAGTAAGTGCCAGAGCAGTGGGCTGAACCCACCAAAAAGCAGGCTCTCTTCAACATATACACTCTATCCACCCTGACCTGTCACCAGGACCATAAAATTGCCTTAGGAAATCTGTGTCATGTATTAAAAGAGGTAAGATGCATTCAGTCCCCTGGCAATTTTGAAGTCAGACTGCAACTTACTGATACACTCTGAGTACACTTTTATCTGAGGGGGGCAGGAAAGCAGCTGTGATGAGGAGCTCACCTCTGTGCACTGAACTGGGTAATGCTTTGATACCATCCTACAGGGAGTTTAAGTACTTTGCAATGGAACTGTGTCTGGTAATGCCTAATGCACAGCCTCTATCCTCATTTTTATGAAGATAATAAAAAAAATAGAGTGTGAAAAAGAAAAGTTTCTCTAAAAATAATGCTCTTTTCCAATGGGCAAGAACCTGAGCGTCATGAACTACCATAGGTTACCTATGTTTCTTAAGGTTGCTACACACCACTGATGTATCCACAAAGAACAGAGTTTGCTGGACAGGAAGCCTGCCCCAGTTCAAAACAGGGAGTATACAGGTAAGCAAATGAAGAAATTATATATGCTACTCATTTACCAGCTCTCAGAGGAGTCCTAATAGCAGAAGTTGATTACACATGCGGAAGGAAGAAGGTCCTATATCTAATTAAACATGTTGGTGGGTGCAGCACTTCTTCCTGTACTAGGAGCAAACAGAACAGGCAGTGTGCAGATAAAATTAATTGTAATGCATCTCCTGGCCAGATTAACAGGACTTAGTGCTCACCCAGGTTGGTAGCATTTCTAATCAGACACTGAAAGACACTGCCTGAGATTATCTGTGATTAAAAAATACAGCCAATTAAATGAGCATACAAATACCCCAGGTATATCTTCTTTGTTTGTTCTTTCTCTACACTGAACAGATGTGTGCATTAGTTAGTGATGACTAGATATTTCTGAAACTGTGTTTGCTTTCCATTTTGTTTGAAACATCTCCACTGGAACCAGATTTGTTTGTTTACCTGGTGTTTGACAAATAGTCTCTGGCACTCAGTTATCAGGGATTCATGCTTGCATCTCCTATTGGAAACTCAATTCTCCTAATTGTTGCTGTAAGCAGGACAACACAAGAGGTGGTTTTGCCTCCAGGCTTTTTTAACTGAGTCTGGTATTGGTCACGTTTTATTGCACTCTAATAAGACTGGAATCTCTTTCATCACCTCCCCTAAGACTTAGGCTTTCCTTTTCTTTTTTTCCTCCCTTTTTCACATACTCTCACACAAGGTCTACATTTAAAGGAATACGTTGATCTTAATGACCTCTTGAAATTTACCCTGGGGCTAATCAGAGGCTTGCTGTGTTTTGCTGGCTATATCTATCATGATACCGGATAATTCACAGCCTACTTTAAAGGCTTCAAACTAGGTGATTTACCCCATATTAATGCGATGCTTTTGCATTTTAATAGGCTTATGTTAATGTTTTACAAAATGATAAAGCATACATCTGAACTCTCCAGTGACAGGGAATGATGGTATGAACTACATAATTCCAGTAAAGGGCAGCCAATAACATCAGATTTATGACTGTTGCTAGAGCATCTGTTGTAAGCTTGGACCAGACCAAAGCATTTAGTTGAGTTTTACCCCTATTCTGATTGCTCAAATGGCTTTTCCCAACCCATTTCACACTCCATATAAAAGTACTCAGGCATAAGAGAGAAGGTAGAGAAAACTAAGCTTTCTGAAACTGCTTTAGCATAGAGTCTTATATCCCTTTGAGAAAAGACCTTTAAGAGAACAAAAGGGATTTCATCACTGATGCTGGAACTTCAGGAGGTAGTGCTCATGAGTGGGGTCATATTTTTCCAAATGAAAGGGAGGCAACCGGTCAGTAAAGCTTAATGTGTTAGGCATCTGTTGCACCTTGAAAACCAAAATGCTCAGGCCAGGGAATGTGAACCATGTGAACCAATTCCTTCCCTTCAGCTGCACAGCAAGTTTGTATTTCAGCTACTCAAAAGGTCACATTTACACTTTTACTAGCCTCTCAAGGCTGAAAACAAATAGCATTTCTATCTTAAAACCAGCTAGAACTTGACACCGGTGGGGCTGCATCTCAAGTCCTATGCTCAGTTTTGGGCCCCTCAACAGAAGAGAGACAGAGAGGCTCTGGAGCATGCCTAGAGAAGGGCAGCAAAGCTGTAGGGGGTTTGGAGCACAAGTCTTAAGAGGAATGGCTGAAGGAACTGGGATCGTTTACTCCAGAGGAGAGCCTCAGAGGAAACCTCATCGCTCCCTACAACTCCGTGAAAGGAGGTTGTGGTGAGGTGGGGTCAGTTCTCTCAGGTTACAGCAATAAGACAAGAGGAAACAGCCTTAAGCTGTGCCAGGGGAGGTTCAGGTTGGATATTAGGAAAAATTTCTTCTTGGAAGAGCAGTGAGGTATTGGAACATTCTGCCCAGGGAAGCGGTAGAGTCACCATCCCTGGAAGTTTTCAAGAAAAGGGTAGATATGGCAATGAGGGATGTGGTTTGGTGAGCATGGGTGAGCCCTGAACCTTCTGGTAGATGGCAAGATGGCAAATGAACTTCAGTTCTGCTGAATGCAGCCTAACACACAAGGGATGGAGGGAGGGAGGGACGGAGGAAGGAAGAAGTTGAACTGCTCACCCATTTGACAGTTTGGAAGAAACTCAGTTAACTCAGACTCAAACTCTGAAAGTGAGGTTTGCTGACAGATCGAATGGAAAATGGTGGCTCTCCATCCGAATACAAGGAAAGGCTATTTAAACAAACAAACAGAGACAAAAATTGGAATAGGGAAAGGAATGGACAACAGTAAAGAAGCGTCACATAAAACTGCTTGTAACACAGGTTGCAGACTGAAATATTTCCCACACTGATGGGCAAAACAATTGCACTTACTGATTTCAAAAATAAAATTTTGTTCCCCAAGAAGAAAAACACTTCTATTTTCCTCGCTTGATTTATATTTCATAGTTCTGACAGAGATAAGAAGGCAGAATTTAACAGAGTAAAATATTTAGGAATGCTACAAATCTTGAACGCTCAGGTGCTCACCTAACAAAAAGAAAATTCATGTTTAGCTTGTGTTTTCTGGCTTGTAGCAATGGTGCAAGCCTGCATTCACCTGCTCCAGTCCAGTTCCTCAAGTGCCAAGTAACATAAACAATCTCTAGCACAACGAACACAGAATGCACCGTGGACCATCTGCTGCTGGTTTCTAAATGGATTGCTAGCAATTACAGAACTCACCTGGGATATAAGAGACCCAGGTTTTCATTCAATGTTAATTCAGGCAACCATGGTAGCCTCTGGCTTACTGGCTGTTCTGGGGATGGAGCCGCTTGTCTCTAGAAAACTGAGTTTGTGCCTGAGAGATTTTCATGGCAGCTAGAATTGTTTGTTCAGACACATCAGTGTTAGCAGCAGCAGCAGCAGAGGTATCCATCAGTTCTTCTGGCTACTTCTAAAAAGATATTACAGAATTACTCTTCACACCACATGCAACTGAACTGCAGAGATTACGGCTACACTTTAAAATACTGTGATGCAAAAACTGACCAAACATTTAGAAGGATAACAATACCATCTGAAATCGATACTATTAATACATAAGCTGGAAGATGCATTGTACCGCATGGCTGGGAGTTTAAGCCAATTCTTCCTGTTAGTTATTGCAAGGAGATGTAAAACAATTTATCCTATCCCTGTTGAACTTCGGGTTTTCTGGATCTACTTTGAAACATCTGCTTCAGAGTATATTAGTTGTCTTCATGTAATGGGAGTTTCTTACTACTCATCTGCCTTGCAGGACCTCCAGAACATTTTTTCCAACATTGTAAGACTCAAATGAGATATGATATATAATCAGAATGTATGATGCTGACAATTTTGTTTTATTATCTCAACAGTGATGGTTTATTACCACTCTTCACTCAATTTCCTAGCCAAAGAACTTGATAGTCTCATTCAGTCATCTATTTAATGGAATTCCTTATTTAACACAATAAAAGACCTATCTTGATTAAATTCTCTCTCTTTAAAAAAAGATAAACAATTTTCACAGTGGGACTTCAACACTCAGCTGAAGTATAACCAAACAGATGTCAAGAAATGGCAAGAAGCATCTGAAGAAGCTACTTAAATTATAAGTGGCTTTGTGTAGTTTTTACATTTGCATCTCTTCCACTTTGAGTGGCAAGAGTGGAGTCAGCATGAGTAAGTCAGCAAGAGTGCAGCATGGGTATGTTTTATCCATATCTATTTATTTTACAAAGAGAAAATGATAATTTAACTAATTAAAATCTTTTTGAAAGAAAATGACCAAGAAAGGACCATCAGATATTGCAGCTACAGAGCTCCACATAACAATCAGCAGTTGTTGCTTGGGAACCTGAAGAGCCTTGCGCTTTGCCATAAACAGCAGAAGGGCTTTCAGCTGTAATAACCTTGGCTAGTTGTAATGGCCAGGTACATACACTCTGCATTACCCGGAGGAATTGAAACTATGCCTGGCATCTTCAGGTGCTAATGCTAAGAAAAAAAATAAAAATCAATGGTAATGTTTTTTAATGCTCTCTGAGTTTGCACTTTATGTCGGGGAATAGTTTTGTACTTACAGAACAGCTAATGAAACAGGGCCATAGTTTTAATTAAGTGGTCAAAGAGCTTTTAAAATAGAAACACCCGAAAGTAACTATAGTAATGCATTTAACAAAAACAGCCTGCAGACTCCAAAGAATGGGGCTAGAATGGCTCAGCCAGGACAAAACAGGTGATAATTCTCTTGTTATGTATGCCAACATCACATTAGGATTTAGAAGAAATCTTCCAGCAGCTTTATCCCGATATTTCTCTACCTATTCACCCTGGACTGAAAGAATAAATAATTCTTTTTTCTTTCTAAAGCAGCCTCTCACGTACTTGAAGACTTAATTCAAATCTCTTCGTCTTTGTTTTCAGCCATTTCATTTCTATGCTTAGATCTCCTCTCTCCAGCACTGCATCTGTTAAGCAGTCAGCACAATAAAATCACTCATCCTCTTCATAGTTTCAATGCTGTCAGCAAGTGGCAAAACCATAAGTAACTTGAGAAAAAGTATCTTTCTGCTGTTTCCCCTGAACCACTTAGAACCTATGTGCTAAGGAACAAGAGTGTAAGGAGAGGCAATGTCAGTGAAGGAGTGATGTTAGAGGGAAGAAGATGCAAAATAAGCTTAACAAGATAAAAACAAGGCTGAACAGGGTTAATAAAAGTTGAGTAATGAACTGTGAGTAATTTTATAAAGGACATTGCTGGCTGCATGTCTATTGGACAAGATATTGCAGTGAAAGACAGCTAAGGAAAGCAAATTATCAGAAGGTTGAGAGTTGTCTGGGAAAACAAACCTTCTTTGCAGTGAAAAAATAGTGCACCAGTCTACTTTCAAATAGGCAATCAGTGCATTTTGGTTTGTTGATGGCAGGGAGGTAAGTAGATAGCCAAGTTCAGCTTAGCACAAGTGACTGCGAAGTGATTAATACTTAAAATACTTGAGGCAGAATAACTAGAAGTGCAAGACGTAATTAAGAAAGGAATGAATATCAATAGTAATGCTATCTGCACCTGGTGAGAAAGAGCATGTTGTTGACATGGTGCATTTGCTACAGATGGTAACTAAAGTGGGTTATGTGTGAGAGAGATCAAAAAAAGATAGAATTTCTAAGGCTCTTCTGAAGATCTGATATTTAAAGATGCATTCAAGTCAGTGCATACAACACTATAAGTCAACTGAAGGATGTGGGAGATGAAATTTTTTATCTTAATCAAAACACCTTAACAATAGGAATGGGAATTCACTGGTTATTTAAACAAAATGTCATAGCTTAATATAATGTCTTATTTTAGAACTATTGAGGTAGTTTTTTTTCCTGTCTAAAATTGAATATTCTCCTGCCCAAACTAACAGTAACATCTTCTAAGCAACCACCTATTGTGTTCTTTTAGAACTACCTTTACTATCAAAACCTCAGCAAATTAAGTGCCTTTCTCTCTTATCACAGTTTCCTCATCGAAGCCACACTCAGCTGAGGTGTGAGGACAGCTGCTGTAATGAATACCTACCCTGTACCTTTTGATCCATGTGCTAAAAATGAATAGCTATGTCTTAAAATACACACAGGCAAATTAATTCTTGCTTCCTACAGAACACAATCCTGTGCTAGAAACAGCTGTGGAGCTGAATACCATAGGCTCTTCATGGAGAATCCTGCACCTTCAGGAATCTCAGCTGAAATTGTGTCTCTGCTGCTGAGCTCTGCTAGAAATACATTTGAATTGTTAACAACAATGTAAGGATCTATGATCAAGGAGTTTTTAAACAAGTATGTCTAAATTAGCTCAAAAATGAGATTCATTTACTTAAAAACCTGTGGAATCCCACAAAAGTACATAAAGAAGTACAGTGTCTCCACAGATATAATCTCCCATGTGCAAGGTTCATAGAAGAGGAGGATAAGAACAAGATTGTATGGGGAAAAGAAACGAAAATTAACATTAGTGTGGGGCACAGAGTCTGTCTCATATTTGCTGGATTTCTGAGGTATGTTTTGGTTCTTGAGGACCACTTCCCTTAGGAAAATGGCAAGAATTCTGAAAGTTGGGTGTAACACAGGGAAATTCTCAGTAAATCAAAATGGTACCATTCAGATTCCTTTTGCAACTCAGAATGAAATAAGATACACTGCAGCTAGTCCAAGCAAAGATATTAGGGTAAGGAAATGAATGATGATTTTTTGACTTCAAGATCTGCTACACTGAATGACTGGAGACAAAAGAGGTAATCTCAGATATGTATAAAACTGAGCGAAGAATTTCTTGGTAGTAGCCCTGCTGAGAACGACTTACAAGTTCTGGTGGATGAAAAATTTAACACGAGCCAGCAGTGTGTGCTTGCAGCCAATGGTATCCTGGGTTCCATCAGAAGAGGGGTAGCCAGCAAGGAGAAGGAAGGGATTATTCCCCTCTATTTATTTTGCCCTCGTGAGGACCCATCTGGTGTACAGCATTCAAATCTGGGGCCCCAATACAGGAAAGATGTGGAGCTGTTGGAATGGGTGCCGAGGTGGACCATGAAGGTGATCAGAGGGCTGGAGCATGTCTCCTATGAAGACACGCTGAAGGAACTGGGTTTGTTTGATCTGAAGAAGAGAATGCTGTGGGAAGACCTCCTTGTGGCCTTCCAATATTTAAAGGGAGTTTATAATCATGAAGGAAATGAGTAGAGTAGAGTGTGTGAGTAGACAGAGATACAACAAGGGATAATGGTTTTAAACTAAAGAAAGGGAGATTTAGATTGGATGTCAAGTGGAAGTCTTTTACTGTGAGAGTGGTGAGGTGCTAGAACATGTTGCTCAGAGAGGCTGTGGGTGCTCCATTGCTGGAGATGTTCAAGGACTGTTTGCATGGGGCCCTGGGCAATCTGATCTAGTACTTGATCTAGTGGCTGATAACCTTGCCAGTGGCATGGGACGTGGAAACTGATGATTCTTGAGGACCCTTACAACCCAAGCCATTCTATGATTCTATGATTCTGTGACCAAGGAAAAGGCAGTTAAACAGTAAGTGAGTGACAATAATTTCTGTTTTCTTCAGTATGGGAAAATTAAATTAAATTTAAATTGATTTAAAAAAAATTAAATTGATGACTATCTGGGCTGAAGATGAAAAGATTACAGAGAATGTATAATACTATAATGTAGTACAGAGAATGTAGATAA